GTGACTCACTGGGAGGTTGCTCATGAGCTCCCAGAAACAAAACCGTGAGGGCAGAGAGAGGGCCTCAAAGCGGACAATATCATGCTACAGCGGAGTTGATCCGGGGTGTAACAATTTGGTATCAGAGCTACTCTGCCATGTGGTGTGAGTGTGCCGACGAGAACGTCGGGCCCCCAAGGGGGGTGGATTGTAAGATCCCACATCGACCAACGGAGAGGGGGTGATGTGCCTTATATGTACATGCCCGCCTCCATCTAGCACGAGGCCTTTTGGGAGCTCACTGGCTTTGGAGTCATGGGAACTCTGAAGTTAGGCGAGTTGGGGCTAGAGCAATCCTAGGATGGGTGACTCACTGGGAGGTTGCTCATGAGCTCCCAGAAACAAAACCGTGAGGGCAGAGAGAGGGCCTCAAAGCGGACAATATCATGCTACAGCGGAGTTGATCCGGGGTGTAACAATTTGGTATCAGAGCTACTCTGCCATGTGGTGTGAGTGTGCCGACGAGAACGTCGGGCCCCCAAGGGGGGTGGATTGTAAGATCCCACATCGACCAACGGAGAGGGGGTGATGTGCCTTATATGTACATGCCCGCCTCTATCTAGCACGATGCCTTTTGGGAGTTCACTGGCTTCGGAGTCGTGGGAACTCCGAAGTTAAGCGAGTTGGGGCTAGAGCAATCCCAAGATGGGTGACCCACTGGGAGGTTGCTCGTGAGCTCCCAGAAACAAAACCGTGAGGGCATAGAGGAGGCCCAAAGCAGACAATATCGTGCTACAGCAGAGCCGATCTGGGGTGTGACATTGTTGGTCTATGAGTTGGGCCGGTGTGCATGAGGTTGACATTAACCTGATTTACGTGGTGTTCACTCAAAGGATTCTTAGTCCTAGAGGGGTTAGGGTGTTTCAAGATCACCAAGATGCTTATCTAAATCGAATCCTAGTCCGAGGAAGACTAGGTTGTCATGGAATCCTAGTCTGAGGAGGGCTAGGTCGCTCTGGAGTTATACTCTGAGAAGGACTAAATCATCTAGGATGATATAAAACAATCTTCTAGAGTTATTACCCGTATAAACAATTTAGCACTTTCACGTTTAATAATGTATTATACACGTATGTACATATTTTTCAATAATACTTCTGTGTTCTACACTTGTCTTAAAGACTTGATAAAGTTCACGTTTTTAAAAAAGCAAATGTACAGTATTAGTATTATACAAGTACGTACTTATTTTTCATGTTTAATACGCGTATTTGTTTTTTACAAAAATTTCAATAAGACACACAAAATTCACTTATTATACACATAATTATCACATATTATTGAATAAAAATAATATATATTTAAAAATGTAAATAATTTATATTAAAACATAATATAGTGGTCAAACATGTAAGTTGTAATTTGCAAAAAATTTGCCGAATAAAACACATATGTATTTTATTCGTATTTTTTCCTATTTCGTATTTTACTAACTATGAATGAATGTACAGCCACACAACTATACTCAGTTTTTTCTAATTGTTTTTTAAAAAATAGTATATTCGCGCAACTATACTCGGTTTTATTTATTTATAAAAAATAGTATCGCCGCGCGGCTGTACCCGGTTTGTTAATTTGTTTTTTGAAAAGAGTATAGCCACGCGGCTATATTCGGAAGTAGCCAGCCTTACGCAGTTCCCTCCACTCTAGAAATCGTGGTGACCCGGAGCCTTCGCTCAAGCCACAAGGTTCAACTCCGCACCAACTGATCGCCCAACCCTATTTTAAATCTAATATAAGATGAGCATCTTCAAAGGGGTAACATTATCTGATAAACTACACAACAAACCATAAAATATGTAGCACACGAATGGTATTGCATCTTATTCAAAATTATGGGCTTTATTACTCATAAATCAATATTGTAATTTATACCAAAATTAATAAAGCCCATAATATTGATTTTTGCATTATAATGTAATATTCAAAATTGCAATGTAAAATTGTTCTGTGCAACAAAAATTATGGGCTTTATTACTCAGAAGCTCATGTCACCTCCTCGTCTTCTGCGCATAATGGATTGAAGTTCATGTGTGCACTCCTTTGTTTGCAAAAGGGCATCCTTAATGATGCCACACACATCCAAGAGCCTCAAAGATCCATCTAGTAGTTCATTGATCCATTTGTCTTCACACTCCTGGGATAAGCTGAGAGTGTGGCAATAGAAGAAACTTCTCAACACAATCATGCAAATCTTGGAAAAGAGAAAGGTCTTGTACTTTGCAGTTGAATGTTCAATTTGGTGTTTCAGTACGCTTTCCTTCCCTTTGGCATCTGCTCAATATATATCACACGGTTCGGGAGACAAGAGCAACTCATCCTCTTCACAGCTGAATCAGTCCCAACGTGATTTCGATCTGGATCCAAAAACTATATTAGCGATGTTTATGCATTGTCTCCTCACCACCGGATCATAAACCCCATCGGCACCTATATTTTACTTACAATATATAGCATGAGTATCTTCAATTCGGCAACAATATCATGGGATGCATTGCACAATCAACCATAAAATATGCAGAACACGAGTGGTATTGTACCATCTCTCTCTCTCTCTCTCTCTCTCTCTCTATATATATATATTAATGAAAGGGAATAGCTAGCTCTTCTATCCAGCATTCCAGCTCTGCCTGCCTCCCGTCCCCGATTACGAGTTCTGTATCACTCTGCCCAGGAAATATCTTTGCATTAATTTATATTCATGTGGTACATTGTCTGTGTCAGAATCATTCATCTCCTTCCATTTCCTACCAACTGGTTTTTTAATATCATACACATGCATATGCTGCTAGTGTTAGAAAAATCGACCTAGGCGGCTCCTAGGCGTGGCCTGGGCAGATCCTTCATTTCCGAGAGCTTTAGGCGGCACCATGTGGTAAACTAAGGGAAGAAGATTTGGCAGGATCTGCTCCACGAGCTTGCGGCGGTAGCACCAGGTGGTAAACGTGAAGAAGATGACCTAATGGAATAAGCTGTACGCGTCGTTTTGTTGGGTAGGAGTTATGGGCCCAACTAACAAAATTGCAATGTAATATTTTTAACTAATATGTTAATTGAATAATAGAGTATTATTATATGCTTTATGCTTAACATTTTCCCCATGTTTTATATCAATTATGGTACTTTCTAATTTAGACCTCTAATTTATGTATCATTTTATTTTGCATGATTTTGGTATAAATTTATAATTTATAATACAAAATAATTATAAATAATAATAAAAAGAAATGCCTAGGCCCCGATTACTCCTCTAGACACAAAGCCCATGCTTGCCGCTCGACTATTGCCTAGTGATTTTTCCTGCCTAGCGATTTTTCAAACATTGGCATTTTCATGTTCTTTTCCCCTAGATGAATTTGCAAATGTGGATGCAGCTACTCATTTTTTGTCACAAGACAGCAGAATCTGATAACATCATTGAGAACACATAAAACCAACTGCAAAATTTGGAGTTGTGCATACAATATCTAGAAGAGTCACTTGAACACCTTTTTCACGGCCTTTGATCAAAACCAGAGTTTCCTTCCTCAACATCCTCAACCACTAGCTTAGGATATTAAGTTAGTTCTGGATGATTCATCCAAAATTGTTTTGGCTCATGCTTATACATGAACGATATATACGCTTACAATATACTTATCGGATACTCAATCAATACTTTTCTCTCCACATTTACTTCAATTACAGTATTTTTTGTTCTCATACGATTTTTGGGAAAACTAATACCAATCTTTGAAAAATCGCTAGGCGGTAGGCAGGCACCCGTTTTCAACCCGACCCATTAAGCTCAACCCAAATACTGATAATTTCGTGCGAATTCGTGTCGTGTTAACGGGTCGTGTGCAATATTGCCAGGTCTACTAGGCGGTAGGCAGGGGCCTAGCCCAGAAGAGTAATCGGGGCGTAGGTGGGCTCCTAGGCATTTCTTTTTTTCTTTAATTATTTTGCATTATAAATTATAAATTTATACCAAAATTCATGAAGCCCATAATATTGATTTTTGCATTATAATGTAATATTCAAAATTGCAATGTAAAATTGTTCTGTGCAACAAAATTATGGGCTTTATTACTCAGATTAAAAAAAAACAGATATTTCTTTCAAGTTTTATTTTTTATTAAATAAGGTGATAAGAAAGTTATTAAAAATTTTGGATAAATTAAAGGAAACATAAAATTCAATACATTTAATGAGGGTAAATTTGGAAAACAAAAGATAGTTTGTAAGATGCATTAATGACATTGTTTTAAGTGTAAAGAGAGTGACACATGTCATAAGAAAAAGGGAGAAAGTCTAAAAGAAAAGGTTAGAGAGAAGGTTGCTAGCATTCCCCTTTATTTTTTTTTAAAAACAGCGAGAGTTGTTTATTCGATTGGAGAGAGTGAGAGGAATGGTAAGATCAGAAGAACTAGTTGTCTCGTTTTATTTCATCCCTCGATGCTGTTGTTGAGAATTGAATTCGAGACCTTGAACCACAATTAATATATACTTGGGTATGTGATCAGATGTTGCTATATCATATGTCATGCAGAGACTAAGCGTGATTGCATTGCCCACTAAATTTGAGATAATGGGAAGGCATATTAATGGTGGCGGGTGCTTGACTTGAACAGAAAATATATATCTCCCAGAAATGATGGTATTTGCAATGCCCTAAGCATTCGGCACAATGCCACATGGGCCATTAAATTTGAATTTGATGTTTGCATTTCAAATCCCCCTTGGAGAAAAAAGGGTTTAGGTATTCTAGGACTTTTCTTTTACCGAAATATTTGATTCTTGGCTTCCCAAAAAAAAAAGAATAATAAGCAAAAGAGAGGGAATGTTAAGAGTCTCTATTATGATTGATATCCTATACCAGTTTGCGGCCTATATATAACGCTGTATGCCTCGTGTTATTCATTGTCTGTTGTCATCAACTCAATCAAAATAAATTCTTTTTGAAAAGAGTGAGGAGGCGAATGGCAAGCTACTCGTCCAGCGATGAACCACTAGTTTTCTCTAAGTCCAGTACTCTCAAAAGAGCTCGTCGGATACCTAATGAGAAAGATGGCTCTCACTCTCATATTGTCGTAACCCTAACTGACCCAGAAGTATTTGATTGCCCTATTTGCCTTGAACCCTTGACCATTCCTGTCTACCAATGTGACCAAAATGGCCACATAGCTTGCTCCTCCTGCTGCACAAAAATTAACAACAGATGTCCCTCTTGTTCTGGGTCCATTGGATCCTGTCGTTGCCGCGCAATCGAGAAGGCTCTTGAATCGATCACAATATCGTGCCAGAACATTCAGTATGGATGCAAAGAATCTGTGGCTTACCATAAAAAAGGTGAACATCAAAAGGCATGTGTTTATTCACCTCTCTCTTGCCCCCTTCTATCTTGCAACTTTGTCTCTTCAGCCGAGCAGCTATACAAACACTTCAGCAGTAGACATGTGAAATCTGCAACACAATTCAGGTTCGGCAACAGTGTTCCTGTTTCATTAAATGCCAGTGACGACTTTCTTTTTCTTCAAGAAAAAAATAAGGGTACATTATTTATCCTCAAGAACCATCATGTTGAAGATCTAGGAAATGCAGTGACAATTAGTTGTATACAACCCAGCTTCATGAGCGGGTACTTGTATGACCTTGATGTGGAAGCCAAGGGAAATTCTCTCAGATTGAAGTCTTTCACATTGAGCATTCCAAGCCAACAGGTTATTGATGATAGCCCTCCTACAACATGGTTTCTTTTAATTCCTTCTGGCTTTATCAGTCCTGGTGACCTGCTCAAGATGCAATTTTGCATATGGCCTAAAGATGCCGTCAGTATCTAGGCTATGGTGTTTTAGCATGGACAAGATTGTTTGGTACTCAATATCAATTTTCAGCATCAGCTATAGTCTTGTGAACTTTTCTTGTTCTTTTCAAAGTTATTAGTTGGTTATGTTTTTATACATTTTGAGTTACTATGTTTTTTGCTTATTCCTGCCAAATGGAAGAACTTGGAATTAGGAAACAAATTGAAGCCAGGGTTCGCTTTAATGCATATTTACTAGCTTGGACTCAACTCAATATATTTGTTTAAGAAACTTTATTTTATATCTCGTGCAATTTGTTGTTAATTAACGATTCCTGATCTGAATGTTTTCATATTCTCAACTAAATTACCCTTAAATTATATAGAAATTTAGTGAAATACCCATTCCTAGACATAAAACTATAAAAATACCCTATACTATTTAATGTATATAAACACACCCAAAATAAACCCAAAAATCGACAGCTATATATTCTTTATTTTAATTATTAAGATGAAATACTTTTATTACCCTTTCAACATAAAATTGGAATTCTAATCAACACCAGATCAGAACTCATTTCACGACCTCGAGTCTCTCATCTTCATCTTCAACCCCAATTTTCAGTTTTTGTTCTTCCACCTCAGTTTTTGTTCAATCTCATCATTCTAAGCTTCGTCGGAGGTCTCGCTTGGGCCACCGACAATGATGCGCTGGAGATGGCCTTTTCTCCGTTCGATGAGATCATCGAATCCAAGGGCCATTTGACCTCTACTACTTGATCTTCTGTTTCTCTATGTTACTTGATCTTTCTTTCCCAAAGATTGAAGATCGATCGATTCTTTTTCATTTTTGTTTATTATTGTGTATTTGTTAGATTATACTCCGGTGTTTTGGTTTTGACGGACGGATCTGATTTGATTTGGTTTTTT